AGGAGATGTTAGCAATTGGAGAGCTCTGGTATTTATATCTCTTCATTATCGATCTCTATTCCAGAAAGTGTCTTTTTCGCTTTTTTTATGGTGTCAGTCCTACTGAGCGGATGGCTGGTCGCCTTGATTTGCAGCCTAGCCACCGTGTATCCGCCTGGCTGAAATGATTGGGTGGATTTTAGCATTTGGAGAGCATTCATTTCTTATCACCTCTCCTGAAACCGTGGCCTCTTTCAGAGAAATCATGGAGCCTACAAAATGGGAGCAAAATTGCCTCCTTTTCTGCGAGTCCTTCGGAGCTTGCGATCCCTTTTTGAAGCTGGTACAAGTCTTATACCGCGGCAGGTTTTGATGCGATCCATTTTGCCGCAAGCCATTCCTGTTTGTTGGCGAATCTACAACAGTGTTTTTGTGGTGTTTGGCTTAACTATATTAGGTTAGCGCTCCTCTCTCACCAACATAGTAAAGCGGATATTGATTGGAGAATACTTTGGCCTGCGAGAGCAGGCACACAACCAGGGCGCTTGTGTCACAGTCCTGAACTGGAGCCAACAATTGATGTCATGTGATTATGCAGGCCAGACTTGATAAGTAGTGGCTGCCTATAAGCAGTCCTCAGGTCGCTGAAATTAAAAATAAGAGAGAGAGAGAGAGGGAAGGAGACAGAGAGCGCTGCAGTGCAGCTAATTGACTGATAACGCAGAAAAATTCCAACTACAACTAATGGGTTCAAACTCAACCGTGATGTGTCTTGGGTGGTTCTTTGCATCTGGCAGCATAGTTGCAACCTTCCCAGATGGCACGACATCACAAAGCAGAGAAGCAGATCCAGAAAACATACTATAAAAAGATAGTCCTAATTTCATCAGCACTTCGTCTTTAGCTGAGACTTTGGGCAACATCAGAGGGATGATATTCTGGAGAAAGTGTCGCCACCATCTTCATGACGCCGTTAGTCGTATAAGGAATTATCAAATCCCAAACTGCTTTGAGCAGGAATACTATGCCCATTAACAGTCAAGGCCAGTCGAACGTGAGTCGCAGAGAGCCTGACACCTTCGCTGGCAGCGACGTTGTGAGCGACTTTAACAATATTTTTGATCTAGGTTTACATTCATGTTAGCGCTTGGATTCTTTGAATTTCCAATCATTCTCACCTCTCGCCCATTGAGTTTGATCCCCGCAAATATACGGAGCTCCTCCTCCTCAACGCTGGC